TTTCCACAAGTTAACCCAAGCAGCCCTGGCCCAACTCGCTAAGGCACTGGGCAAAGAGCATGTTGCCTGAGCAAATCGATTGATTCGCAAAACAGTCAGCAAGCTATCAGCAACCCCCTTGAAATTTGCCGCCCAACCCCCCCCCCCTCCCAAACCCGCCCAAACCCCCAAAACCCCCCAACCTCCCCACCCCCACCCCACCCCACCCCACCCCGACTCCACCCCCCCCCCCCCGTCGTCCCCCCCACGTCCCAATCCTTGAAGGCACCGAAAGGTCCGCTGCTCGTGCACCGGGCGCACGAAGATCAGGCGGAGCATCAACTCAAACAGCACCGGCAGCGACAAGGCGCAGCTCAGGCCCAAACGATACCTTCGGAGACCAACTTCCGGCTGAAATGAAGTCTGGGATCTTTTCGCCTGTTGGTTTTTTAGACGGGATGTGTCACTACTGGAAGTGTTTGAATTGTTTCCAGGGGACGAAAAACCAAATGTTCCCCTCTTGGTGTTTAAGGAGCTGTGTCACGAATGGAAATATGTGTGTTTTCTCCAAAAGCGTTAGCAAATGGAGGCAAACCCCCCCACCTGCCCAAGCCCAGGCTGAGGGAAGAACTCGGGGTACACACACACACACGCACACATACACCTGGATTGGGAACAGAAACGCCAGGTGGAATTTGATTGGGGTGTCCCCTTAGTGGCACCCCTGGCCTCAACCATCATACCGAGATACGCGCCTACAATTGGTCCTAAAAGTGATGCTTAAACTGGCTTGAAAGGGAAGTATACGCCAGGTGGTTTGAGAATTGGCTGTCTTTGGGTACATACGCATACATCTATATGAATACGAATACATATACATATACATATACATACATATATATATATATGTAAATATAAATCTGTGTGTGTGTGTGTACATCTGGTCTAGCCAGTATGGAGGGAATTCGCCCTCAAACCTCGACTGAAATCGAAGGGAGGCGGCTAGCACCTACCTTTATCCCTGTCTTCTCCTAAGGGCGAAGGCTACAAGCATTCCACTTCATCTTTTAGGCCCCCTAAGCATACATGGCCATCTATGTACAGAACTCCGCAAAAGCGACAAGGTGCAAAAAAGCAATTTGCCCAGCTGCTCCTTTACATGCATTTGCCCAAGGAGTATGCAAAAGAGGGCATGGCCAACCATCCTTGGATTAAGGACCCTCCCAATAACAGCAACCCAACGACAGGGTCCAATAGACCCTATCAGGCCTTACTCGGCCCCTTTCTTGCATTTGTTTTGTTTGTTTGTTTGTTTGCTTTTTTTTAGGGGGGGGGGCTCGACAACCGTAAGCTTCTGCGCGACCCACCTACCACAACATTCCGTAATACGAAGTAGTCGTGGGACATTTGGGAGGATGAGCAACCCAAAGCAAAAAAATGCTTAAGCCATCTTAAATCTTGGAAGTAACCTTCAAACAATTGTGTCCAAAACTAGGTTTTAACTCGAAATGAGCTCACCATAAAGTCGCAAGTGAACCCGGAGGTATGTCCAAAGCCAGGTTTTGACCCGCCACAAAGCTCGCCATAGAAAGTCGGCATAGAAAACCGCTGGCACCCCTCAAAGGGGCAAGTGGCCAGTCCACCGAGCTGGCTCCTGACGAGAGAGGTCTTCCATTGGAGTGTTGGGTACGGTGCAAGGTCTTAACATCTCGAGGGCCTCTCATGGCTCTCAAACTTACTCTTGGGCTGTGTGCAAAAGCTCGGTTGTTCAGTGACCCTGGAAAAAAAGGATTCCTTTTTGGGCAAGTCCATTTTTAGTGGGGCAGCCACCAAAAAAAAAGGGGAAAAAGGGTGCCACTGAACAGCTGAGAAAGGGCGATTGGGGCCTTTTCGAGAGGACTGCGGTCTTTCAAGGCACTGTCAGCTTCCTTGATTCAGCTTGTTGGAAAGGGGCCATAGAGGGTGCTAATCAATTGTCAACAGCATACTCCTTTTTGTCGTGACTGAGGATAGGCGAGGGCGGGGGGTCAAACACGCTGATCTCAGGGGGAAAAAGCCAGAAACCTCTTTAAGGTTTGTGGGGACTGCTTTTCCACTTCAGGGATGCGATTGGCAGGCGTTCCTAACAGCGCCTTCTTCCCCCCTCCCTGCATATCGCAGAGGTCGAGCCCCCAGTTGTTCTAACGAGGGAAGCCATGGACGCCCCCCGCATTCCCCGTTTGGCAAGTAGGGCTGCGTGTCCGGAACCTATCAATCTTAGGCCGGCTAATTCTCAGCATGAAGACACCTTTGGAAAATTGAAACACTGGATCTCTTGTGGAATGCTTCCAACTGGGCTGTTTTCGTCGATCCCCTTCCTCTTTGGCTCAAGTTCGTCATATGGCCGATATTGGAACTCATGCCAAGCCAATTCGGACCCCATTGGTCCTTGGTGCCTCTGAGTTGCGGGGCCGTGGGTTGGTTGAAACGAGTGCCCGCAGACTTCAGTGCCTAGACATGTCAATTGGTTTGTCGCTGTTAAGGAGGAAGTGGTGCCCAATGTTCCTGCCAGGTGGTGCCGTCTGACGCCCGCTTTCCAACCATCATGACTGCGTTCAGCGACCTGGAGGGAGGGTTGCAGGGAGGGAGGGAGGGAGGGAGGGAGAGGAGAGGAGAAAAGAGCTCCCCAAGTATGGGATCTTCATTGGCAAGCTCCTTGCCTGCCCGAAAAAAGCGATCACCCCACCAAAGAGAAACTGAGCCAGCAGTGGCGCACAAGGTCATGTTAAGGCATACAAAATGCCAACAGCGTTCCCCCCCTCCAAAAAAAGAGAAGAGAGACAAGCCCATGTAAAAACCTCAAACAAAAACAAGGCTAAAACAAGCAAAAACAAAACAAAAACAAACAAAGCTAAGAACTCCGGCCACAAAAAAAAGCTGCTGGCTTTTCTTCCCACAGGGCCCAAGTCGCGAGAGGCACCTCTTCGAACCTCTCCCTTCAGACTTTTGGTGCAAGTTCTGCAAGATGTTTCTTCTTTTCACATGCGCTGCAAGGGGGTCACGGGATGTCCCCTCCAAAAGGTGGAACTTATGTGTGTATATATATATGGATTCAACAAGGAAACCCCAAGAACAGCCAATCAATCCGTTCTTTTTTAGTGGGCGTCCAAATCCTGAAACAAAACAAGCACACACACACACACAAATTCCCATTTTGGGAGAGATAGGCAGCTGGATACGGATACCTCCCCCCACTAAACCGATGCCGTGTGCCGTGGCTCGCTCGCTCGCTCGCCCGCTGGCGGCTCCTGGCGCGCAGTGGTTCCACCAGTCGCAGTCCCGGACCTCGAAGGAGGCCTCTGGGCACCAATGGCCTGATGCGAATGGAACGACGTCGAAGGGGTCGAGGGAGGGTTTTCGGAGCGGGGGTATGGGTGGGGTCAGGGGGTCGAGGGAATCAGTGAAATGGGGAGGGATTGGGGGTATTGGGGGGGTATTGGGGGGGTATTGGGGGAGTATTGGGGGGGTATTGTCTGGGTAGGGGAGGGAAGTTGGACCCAGTGAACTATGCTTTCAGAACCTGAATCAAGAATTGGATCCACTAGCAAACTAGCAGAGGACCCATATCATAGTAAGCTCGCTCTGCAGGTGAGCTCACAATATGTTTTTGCAAATGGGACATTCCAACCATCATTTGCGGAAGATCCCTCACTTTCCAGGGACCCCCCCCAATATGGGGCTTGGAACTGCCTGCAGGACAAATCCGCAACTGGCTCCAGCGAGTCTCCATGTCCAGCAATCCCATTTCTCTCGGCCACCAAGCGACATATCACCATCCAGCGGCTCACAGAGTTGGACATGGGCAAACCACTTTTAATCCAATCCTTCAGACCCACAAGGTTCCGAGACTCCGGCCTTCCAGGATCAAAACTTCACCCTGAGGCCTAGCTAGGCCCTTTTGTTGGAGGAAAATGAGGTGGTTTAGGGGCTTTTAGGCGTGCTGGATCTCGCAACTCTCTATCATTCTAGACCTGGCAGGGAGTAAGTTTGGATCCTGAAGAGAAACCCAACGAAACCAAACCACACATTTCTACACGTGTTTCATGTTTTGTTTATTTTTACAGGCTCGGAGCAACCCTGCAACAAGTCGTGTGGTGCAATGACATGTTGGCATTTTGGCAGCTCACGAACAACAACTCATGGAACCAACCTCTGCAGTCACATCCACTGCCCACCAGTCTAAACACCGACAGTGTCTCGCACGCAGCTGTTCCTTTTTCGCGCGGCGCCGTTGGTCTCTGGTATTGACTGTGCTGGGGTGATTCTCCAGGTTCAACCCAGACCTCCAGTGGCCATGTATGGGAATGCATTTTGTGTTGTGGCAGTTAACTTTAAAGGGAAATTACCCTCCTGTCCATTAGCACAGAACTCCCGCAAAGGGTCCCTTTAAAGGAAAGTCGTCTTCCAGGACTTCTTGGTCAGGTTCCATGTTCATGAACAGGGGGGTAACCGGGTACCCCCCCAAAGAAACAATGTTTCAGAAACACGGCACCCCCACCACTGGAGGTTGGACCCTCTTCCGGGCTGGCCAACCGAACTGTTTGCCGCCGGAGATGGAGCCTAGGCCTGGCCGGTTTCAAACACCAAAAAGTACAAAGCGCTTGCGTGCATTTCCTTTTGGCCTGAACCAGTCTCCGACTTGACTTCCAGAGTCTACTTGGCTGCCTCTGTTTGGTGGGCTTTAAACTCAGCAAACCTTATGCAGGACCCAGTTGCTACACGGTCAAAGTCCAAAGGACATGGGGAGGGATCACTAAGCACTCTCACAAAAAAGAGGGGACTCACGGAATTTTGCATGTTTATTACGGGAACTGCATATTTCGACCGTGGCCCAGCTCGACATTTGGGCACGGCTCCCTCTGAAGCGGGTGCCCTTTTCCATGCCTGTAGCTTGCAGCAAACTGGATTCCCCTGTTTCACTCTTTCCCATGGAGCATGTTGGCCGAACCTGCCTTCCGCGCCCCTCCAGCTCGCTCAAAGGTTTATGGCTTCAGGCGGTTTAGAGGCACGCCCGTCTGCTGCGCGAGCTTCTCGTACCTCAGCTCCGAGCCCCTTCGGGTAGAGAAGGGTGTGTCTTTTGTTAGGAGTTGGAACCCTCAAACAGCTCTGGTTTCCTCTTGACGTCCCTTCAAAACCATCCATATTGGTGCACCAGCTCACAGAAAAACACACTTACAAGGGTTCCTGAAAAAGGGGGAGGGGGTTGGAAGAAACCAATCACCAAACTTCTGCCCTTGAGGCTTCATATGGAGCCTCAAAAAACAAACCCCAAAAAGGCCCCGCTAAATACTACTCTGAGTCTTCTTATGAATTGGGGGTAAAAACTAAACTTGGGAAAACTTGTTCAAGGCATCTTGTTGAAGGAAGGAATACCCACTAAACCTGTTACCGGGAACATTGAAACATCAGCCACGCCCTCCCGTGCACTTTATTTCGAGGAGGTAGAACATTGCTGGCGCTCCAGTTTCAGCTAGACTCAATATGAAGGGTTGGCGTTGGCTCTACTCCATCGCTATTGAGAAACCGCCACAGAGGGAATAAATCCGTTCATACGCTTTTGAACAGCCCAACATATGAATGAATTCGACAGTTACCCAATCAAAAATCCTCCAGCAAGGTGGCTTCTTTTTTGTCTGGTCTCCAAAAAAATAACATCTTCCTCCTTTTTGAAAGGATGGACATAATTTGTGCCATCAACAACCCAGCTGTTGACGGAGTGAGGCTACCATTCCAACACTCCTTGAAACAACTTTGTCCGAACAGGAAACCCAAAGTGGCCTGTTTACACAATGCTTGAACAGACTTAGGCCCCCTGCAAAAAGTTATTTTTTGTTGACGATAGGGTAGAATGATGCTCAACCCAAAAAGGGTGTCCAACAGTTTAGTCAGGTAAGCCTTTTCTCTGGCAATGCTCATTCTACACATGGGTGTGTCTTAAAAGGGACCCCAACAAAAAAAACAACACATGCTGCTTTTCCCTTCGGATTCCCTTTAAAACCACGAGCAACAAGTACCACCTCCACAAAACAACGAGTTGGCCACCCACATCTTTGAACCACAGGGGGCGTCGCTCACCCCAAAATTGCTGGCACCAACCCCAAACTCATCGGTTTTGGAACGGAACGTGCGCCACGGTGCTCCGCATCTAGGTCCGGGGCCTCGATCCACAGCTGGGTGGCTGGGTGGGGTTTCGGGGGTGGGGTTCTGGTCATAGGTGTCCGTTCAAGGGGAAGTAGATGGATTTCCCAGGTAGATGATTAAACCACCAGGTCAACCAGGAATCGCCATCTATTTTTCGACCAAAACTACCAAAAAGGACACCTATGGTTGTGGTGGACTCAGATTCTGCGTTCTCTGCAGTCTAGCCTTTTTGCCTCCGGCGGCTGTGCCGGACGCACTCTGAAGCAGGAGGACCATCCATTTTAGTCTCTTTCGTCTACTCTAGGGCCCTAGGACATAGTTTGGGAGACCCCAGCCCCACCCCATCCCCATTCAGCTTCCCTGAATGAAGGTGGTGATCAGGTGGTGTTTCATTTACCCTCCCCTAACCAATCCAAACCGCTTGTTCTGGCACACCTCATCTAATTCTTGACAAAACAAAAGGCTGCCCTTTGGCCGCTCAAGAAGATCGGGGTCGGAAACCACTACACAACACCACACAACACAACACAACACAACACAACTCTATACACACACACACATGAGAAAGCCATTGTGGCAGACGCTTCATGCTTTTCATCTTTGCCAAGTGCAGAGCCCACGCACAACGGGGCCCCGCCCTTTCGACCGATTCAGCCCTGACCTCCACCAAGTCGTCGTCTTTGCGCTCGCGCTCCGGCAGCGACCCCAGAGACTTGACCATGCGCTCGAAGGTGGCGGCGGTTTGCCTGTCTTGCCTCCTCAGCTCCTGTGGGAGGAATTTGTGTTGGCGGCGGGGCTTAGCAACTTGGGAGACAAAGAACCCTTTAAGCCAGACATGTCGACTTTGGGCCTGCCATCAGGAAACAAAAGCAGCGAATACAAGCGGAGCATATTGAAATATTGGTCTTGGCGACCGGGGCAAGCTCGTGGCAGGGGTTGATGTCATGAACCTTGGAGAGTATTAAACCCAAGTTCGCTGGGCAACCATGCCCCTTCTTGGCTACCGCTGCGCTATATAAATAGAATGGGGCCAAAAGCCTCACGTTCATTGGGCCGGGTACATGGCCACATTTCAAGGGTCACATATGCAATGGCCAACTGATTAAACGTAGCGTCAGCTAGGCCAAAGGGAGGTACACTCTCAGGCCGCCAAGGGTGCATCACAGCGCACAAATCACCTCACACGCCAAACTAGTTAAAGTCCTTCATACATCCTGCTCCTTTTACCATGTTTTACCCCTTGTCCCTCCCGATTGAGTCATACGCCGCTGGAAGTTTTGACCGAAACACATACACTATTTGGGGGTTAAAGGAAGGCCCCATCTTCTCGAACCCTTTTTGGGTTGTGGGGCTGCCCTAGGTTTTGCCCTAGGGATGGCAAATGGGTCTCTGACAAAATGGGGGGAATCCCAACGAATTGCGGTGTTTCGTCCTTCTGGTTGTCCTTTCAACCGGCACCCTCAACAAACAAACGCACACAAACCAACAAACAAACAAACTAACAACCTAACAAACAAACAAACAAGCTAACAAATAAACACATCTATGGGCTCATGTTTTTTGAGGGTGTCCTTTTCAGGTTATTTCAAAGCGACAACAAAAGGAAGCCCACCAAATTCAGGGGCATGCTGTCTAAACAGTGGCTTCAACATCTGGCTGGCACATCGCAACCACGTGTTCCCCGTTTGTTTTGCTCAACTAGGTAATCCGAGCTCATTTGCCCGAGAAATCCCTTGGTGTCCTGCTTGGCCTCTTTCAGCAGCTGCCTCCCCGGCAAATTCTGCGGCTCGATCTCCAGAAGCCGCTGCAAATCACCGGCCGCCGCCTCAAGGCGAGCTCGAAAAAGGCGAGCGAAGGACCTTGTTTGAGCCTCGGTAAAATTGGCACGTGCTTGCCTTTCATTTGCTTAAGAATATGTGTGCTATTAGTCTTTCCCTTTGGCCTTGAAGGGGATCTATATCACACGTCGGGCCCTCATGGCCAACGCAAACCAGACTCACCTGCCAGGATGCCAAGCAAACGTGGACCTGGTTTGCCCCAAAATGGCTCGCCTTTAAAGGCAAGGCCTGGCAAGACTCGAACCTTGAGGGAGTTTCTGGGGCAATCTTCATGTGCGAAAAACAGTCTCCCTGCAAAACAAGCTCATATTTCCGGCAGCGATATGGATTCCCCGTAAAACCAAGAAGGAAATAACAAGGTCGGGCAAATGGAAGGCAAAGCTCTGGCAACGCAACGTCCGGGGCTCGCGACGCTTTCTCTCGGAAGCCGAAACCAGCGGAAGCTCGCCTGGTGCTGCGCGAGGCCCAGCTGGGCCTTGGCGCGCCGGAAGAGCGCCTTGGGCTGCTGAGGCTCCTGCGGCCGGCAACTGGGGCCCCAAGGGGCCCGAGCGAGGTACAGAGGCATTGGATGTTCGAGTCAAAACTCGGTGGCGACATTTGCGAAGCCCTGCTAAAAGTGAATAACTTTTAGCGGTTTGATACGGAAAACCCATTAGTTGGCGAAAAGTTCAAGCCCTGACATCCAAGCAAAATGCATCAAAGAAAAGTTGAAGAATTTACTGGTGGTGTGCAGCGAAACGATCGAACACCACTTTTGGAGGATTGAAAGAAGGGGGAAATGGAGGCCCCTTCTCCACTGGCCATGGAAAGAAAAGGGGCAGTTGAGCAGTTGACTCTGAAGGTAAGCCTCCACACAGCACAAATAAAGAAGCCATTGTCCCTAAACTTGGGTAGATGGGATGGCCATTCAGAGGGTTCAGAAAATAGCTGGCAAAGCCTGTGCTCCCCCGCAAAATCAAAGAAGACAGCTAGTCAATTCCCTACTCTCTCTCTCTCTCTCTCAAAAAATCATGGAAGCTGACAAGAGGGTTGTGGAGCACTACTCCCCTTTGAGGAAGGTACCTCTCCACTTCCAGCAATGACAACACGTTTGCCAGTGCGAAACGGGGAACCCTGTATATAAGGTCGACCCCGGAGGAATGCACCTGGAAGATGCGGAGTGTTCCCTCCAGGGGTTGCTCCAGAAATGGAACCCTGCCCTGTCGGCTTTTAACTGGGGTAAGATATGCTTTTACGTTGGATTTCCAAAATATTGCCAGTAGGAGGCGAGAAGGGACACCTTTGCCGAGGCCATTTCGGGGCTTCACAGCAGGCGCACCAAGCCATCCCAAATAACAATGACCAACACGAGACACCCGAAACAGTTCAACCGGTCCCAATCCAAGCGCTAGCCTGTCAATCGACCACCTGCAGACTGTCAATCCAACGCCTCCCAGTTGCCAGGCGACCAATTTGGTGGAAAAAGAAGTGGAACACTCTTTTGGCATAGTTCCAATGGGGGGTAGACCCACCTCGCAAGAAGAGAGAAAGGGCGCCACTGAGCAGGGCCCTTGCGGGCCCAAAACCCAAACACCCTTGCTTCGTGAGGTGCTGGCTTCGACTTGCGCAAGTTGCTGCTTGCAGCAAGCAACAGCTTTACACCAAAAGCATAACAACCATGGAGGTCAAGAGTGCAAGCTTCGGAGCTCCACACGCACGAAGTAACGTCGGACCTGCCTTCACATTTGGGGCCGTCCTTATAATTACAAAGTATTGGAAATACAAAATTAAACATTGGCAAGTTGACTTGTTCACTAAAGATTCCGTGGTGCCAAAGCAAACCCAGCATTACCGCAATTCACCAAACACAATTCAGGCATCCAAACGGGGATCTTAATCATAGGTGTTAAGCAAAGGAAAATCGAACTGATTTTCCCCTCCGGGGTAAGGCCACAGACCCTGCCCTGCCCAAAGATACCTCATACCAGAAATCTGCACCCCTGGGACGTGCCAAGAATAAGGGGGCCCCAAGAAAGTGTTGTTTTGCTTTTGGCTTCCTTCCAAAACCCACCTGAAAAGAGTACCCTCAAAAAACCGCTCGCGTCAGAACTCTACAGCTCTTGGCATGGTAGCAAAAGACATCGCTTTGCAGCCCCCCAGTAAAAATAAACAGAACCCAAAAACCTAAAACAAAACAACTGTCCAAGAACAGTGAAGAGAACCATTCCGTTCCTCCTGCAGCACCTTGTCGCAGAGCTCTTTCACCCTACCATGGTCGCTGAGGAGCAGCAAGCATGCAGCCTGCCAAAGTGCCAAGGACAAGGGGCCTGCATGAATTGAACAAACATACGGTGGATGGGTAGTTGCGAGTCATCCATTTCGCACCTACGGAACCATGGAAAGCTGATGAGTTCCCTTTTGGACATCTTTTTGCATAAGGTCTAATATGAGTTTCTCGCCAAGTACTGGAAACCGAACCATGGTTTCACTGTGGATGGGTACAAGTCATATCACCGTTCAGAAAGCGAGTTCGTGCTGATGGCAACTGATCAGGAACCATCGCGTGCAACTGGCAAGCATAGACTCCGAAGAAGGGCCCCCATCAGAACAAGCTTATCAGGGACTCAATCAAGACAGTTGCCTTTCCGTAGGGAATTTGACGGCAATTGCAAACAGAGTCTGCAGCAGTCCCTGCATCATGTTTGCGCCCTAGCAGCGTTAACATTACCAACTAAAAAGCAAACAAAGCCATTGAGGCCCCTTCACATTTGGCATTAGGGAAGCCACCAGGAAGCCACCCATAGGGGGCCGATTCCTGTGGATGGACGGAATTCGTTGCGCACCATAAAATGAATCCAATGTTGAAACCATCGTTGGTATTTACAGGGGGCATCGACAGAAACCAGGACTTCTGCCATGGCGCGCCACGTTTTTCGCACCCATCCACCGTTTTTTTGGGCGCAACGCCCCACAAAAAATCCACGGGGATCCCGGGCTCGAGGCTTCGGTTCCCCGCCTGGTTCAGCCAGGCTTGACGCCTGAGCTCCGCGGCTTGCGGCTGCAGCTCCTGGCGTAGGATATCGACCCAGGCAACGTGGCAGGAAGCTCCTGGGAATAGTTGCTTGTTGGCTTGTTGGTGGGTTGATGGGAAAGCTTCCATCGCTTCCAACATGGCACACGGGCACACAACCAACACACACACACACACACACACACAGTGGCACAGAGACACACAGAAAAACACAGAGATAAAAGAGAGAGAGAGAGAGAGAGAGTACACACACAATCAGACACACAGAGAGGCACAAACAGAGACAACAACACACAGACACACTGACACACTAACACACAGACACACTGACACACCAACACACAAGCACACACACACACACACCAAGACACAGAAACACTGACACACCAACACACAGACACACTGACACACCAACACACAAGCACACACACACACACACCACACACACGCACACACACACACACACACACACCCACGCACGCACGCACGCACGCACGCACGCACGCACGCACGCACGCACGCACGCACGCACGCACGCACGCACGCACGCACGCACGCACGCACGCACGCACGCACGCACGCACGCACGCACGCACGCACACGCACACGCACACGCACACGCACACGCACACGCACACGCACACGCACACGCACACGCACACGCACACGCACACGCACACGCACACGCACACGCACACGCACACGCACACGCACACGCACACGCACACGCACACGCACACGCACACGCACACGCACACAGACACACTGACACACTGACACACCGACACACAAGCACACACACACACACAAAAAAAAAAAAAAATCACACACACAGAGACCCACAAACACACACACACACATACACACGCAGACGCAGACAGAGAAACAGACGCAAGACACAGACGCAAGACACAGACACACAGAGTCACACGCACAGACACAAAGACGCAAAGGCACACAGAGACGCACAGAGACACACAGAGACGCACAGAGACACACAGAGACACACAGAGACACACAGAGACACACAGAGACACACAAGACACACAGAGACACACAGAGACACAGACACACAGAGAGACACACGAAAACAGACACACAAACACAGACGCAAACGCACAGACACGCGCACACACACACACACCACACACCCACAGACGCAGACGCACAGACACCAACAGAGACACACACACACACAGACACGGACACAGGCACACAAGCAAACACACAGACAGAGACACAGAAAGACAGAGAAACAGTTTGACAGAGAGAGAGAGAGAGAGAGAGAGAGACAGAGAGACTAAGAGACAGAGAGACAGGCAGGCCGGCAGGCTGACAAACAAAAACCGGTCTTCTCTAAGGAACCTGCCGGTTCCATAGCAACGCGGCTTGCCTTGGTGGAGCTGGTCTGCCCGAACAGGACATCCCAATAAGTCAGCTACAACTCGCTGAGGGCTTCGCCATGGGATGATGACCCTTCGAGTGAAAGGGCCTCAACTGGATGGCGCTGTGCCAATGGGATCCCAGGATTTAAGTAACAAACGCTTGCCCATTACCAGCCACAAGGCTGCAGTACCTGCCCCTGTCAGGAAAAGAAGGAAGCAGAGGTCAGTCCAAAGGTTTCTCTATGGAAGATGGCCGCTTGACAAGCTAATGTGGCGAACTGGGGGCGGGCCATAGGGATACACAGCCCTGCAATCACATGTCAGGGCTCCTTGCACGTCAACCCTCCAAAAAACGTTATACCATGATACCATGTAATGCCACCAATTTCTCAACACATGATTGAACCACCCGAACAGTACATTTCTTTAAACACACAGCACGGGGGGGTAGACACATGGCAAGTTAGTTGCACTGCCTGTCCTTGAAGTCCTCCGGCCGAGCAACATAGGAAGCAATCGCCTGCGCACGAGATGTGGAGCTCACTGGCACAGCACGAGGATTTGTTTGGCAAATGAGCCCCGACACTCCACGCAAGAGGTATAGTTCGCCGTGTTTTGCCTCCTATGGGTCTGGATTGTGTGGATATCGACCACATATCGGAAACAAGGCATCCCCAGGTACAGGACCTTCGTTGAGCCCCGGAGCGCAAAATAGTTTGCGCCCGGAAGGACGACGTCTTCCGCGTGCCTGCGGATGCTGGTGAGAGAATAAGGTATGGGCACTGACCGTCCATTCAAAACATGTGTGTGGCACATGTTGTTTGTTGTTTTTTTGAGGGGGGAATGGTCCCATGACTCAGGGCAAAACATGACCCCCAACCAAGGGAACTCAGCTCGCATGGGCCCAAATAGTGTTTAAAGCCAAGAAAAGGGGGCTCAAGAATCGGGACCCTAGACACTCCACAAAATCCCCGTCGCACCAATTTACAAGTGGTGTATCCCAATGATTCTGGGCTGTGGCCTGTGACTGTCCTCAGATCCCCCGCTAAAAGCTTAACTTTTACTGGATGAAATGGACACTCCGCCACAAAATCAACTAAAAAACAAAATTATACAACTAAAAACCGAAAGAAAAAAACTGAAAAACCATGAAACAACTAAAAGCCCAAGGGGGATGGCTGGGAACCGCCCAGATGTGTAGGGTTCCTTCACAGCTGGAGCCTGGACTTCGCCCGGCGCCCCGCGCGCCCGCGCCTCGTAGCGGCTGGCCGCCAGGCGGGTCCTGCCGCGGCGGAAGAGCTCGGCGCTGAGCTCCTTGCGGCGGGTGGCGAAGTCCAGGCGCTCGGCGTGGGAGAGGTCCCACTTCTCGGGGACCTCGGGTCAGCCCTCGTTTGGATTGGTTTGGATTGGTTCGGTGGAACGGAAAGTTTCATTGGTGGTTGTTTTGGGATTTAATTGGTGGTTTGGTTTGGTGGTTTGGTGGTTTGATGGTTGAGGGGTTTCCCATTTGCCCAGCTTCCCTTGTCTAGGTCCTCCAGTAGAGAGCTTAGAATAAGGGTGCCAACTTTTTCCTTTTTGTCTATTTTAGTAGGGGGGGCCCAAAAAAAGTGTTAAAGGGCACTACTGGAGAACCAAGTTGTTGTTTGGTGGTTTGGATTGGTTTGGTGGTGGAACGGAGGGGTTTAATCGGTGGTTTTTGGCTTGGTGGTTTGATGGTTGAGGGGTTTCCCGTTTACCCAGCTTCCCTTGTCTAGGTCCTCCAGTAGAGAGCTTAGAATAAGGGTGCCAACTTTTTCCTTTTTGCTTATTTTAGTAGGGGACCCTCCCCCCAAAAAGGGTAAAAGGGTAAAAGGGCACCACTGGGGGACCTAGTTGTTGTTTGGTGGTTTGGATTGGTTTGGTGGTGGAACGGAGGGGTTTTTGGTTTGGTGGTTTGATGGTTGAGGGGTTTCCCATTTACCCAGCTTCCCTTGTCTAGGTTCTCCAGTTGAGAGCTTAGAACAAGGGTTGTTTCTTTTTCGTCTATTTTAGTAGGGGGACCCTCCCCCCAAAAAGGGTAAAAGGGCACCACTGGGGAACCTAGTTGTTGTTTGGTGGTTTGGATTGGTTTGGTGGTGGAACGGATGGTTTAATTGGTGGTTTTTGGTTTGGTGGTTTGATGGTTGAGGGGTTTCCCATTTACTCTCTAGAAAAGCCAGTTCAAATCCGCAAACCACCAATCCAAACCACCAACTGGGGGTTGCCTGAATTGGGCTCACCAGGCCTTGACCACAGCTCACTACCTCCCCTACGTCTTCAAGAGGATGCTCGCTTTAGCTTGGCCCAAAAGGTGAGGTTTCATTTGAAACCATCTGGAGCAATGTAGGGACCGAAGCAAAGCCTCAAACAAGGGGAAGCCACAAAAAAAACAACGCCCCAGCCAAGGTTTTCCAGGGAAGCCCAGCCTCGAAGATGGCAGCAACTCGCTGGGAGTCCGTCTCACCCAGCTGCCCCCCCCCCTTCCCCCCCCATTCCCCCCCCCTTCCCCCCCCCCCCTTCCCCCCCCCCCCCCCTTCCCCCCCCCTTTCCCCCCCCCCCCTTCCCCCCCCCTTCCCCCCCCCCACCCCGCCCTCCCCTCCTCCCCCCCTTCCCCCCTTCCCCCCCCCCCCCCCCATTTGGCGCCTTTTCGACGCTGAGCACCGCGAGGTGCACCACGATGGGCGTCTCCAACTGCGAAGCCACCAGACCGCTGCAGGCCGCAGCGTCCAAGACACGCAGCATTGCCTCCGACCCAAGCCGTGAGGCCCAAAAGCGCAAGGCTATGGACCTTTGCTTGCAGCGGTTGAGTCCATAGGGCCATGGGGCAAAATCCAAATTGCACCCCCAGTGAACATCCCAATCCAACCACTAAAAAAGGTACTAAAAAGGGTGGTTCACCCACCCCAAAATGGGATCCCAAAACGGTGTTGACCCACCCCCATAGATTGGCTCTTTTTGTTTGCTTTCAGAAAACCAGCCCTTGTCTTATTCTGCATTCTTAAAGCAACCAGCTTTAAAAAAACCTATTGTGTGGTGGCTTTCTGGAAAGAAGCCTGGAAACAATGGGGGAGGCAACGCTAGATTGGGTTCCCCCACAACCTCGACAAGGGCACGCAAAACTAGTTCCTTTCTTAAGAGCTATACAAAGGTTATGCGGGAGCACCCTGGGCACAAACAAGGTATCTAAAAGCTTGACGCTGGTGCAAATGCCACAAATGAGAACAAACAAGCAACACAAAATGAACATCAAATAGCAACCGACCAACAAAGAAACTGAACCAACCAACAAGAACCACCAGGCACCACCAGGCACCACCAGGCACCACCAGGCGCCACCAGGCACCACCAGGCACCACCAGGCACCACCAGGCACCACAGGCACCACCAGCAGCACAAGAAGACTAACAACAAAAACAACAGCACAGCAACGACAACGACAAATTGCTGAATCAGGACTCCCCAAACGGCGGCTCGCCTTTTGGCTTTTGGCATCCCTTTAAAACCAACCCAAAAAACGTCAAACTAAATTAGCAAACCCGAAAGGCATCCCTACCCTAACCCCCCACCCACCCACCCAGCCAGCCAGCCAGCCAGCCAGCCAGCCAGCCAGCCAGCCAGCCAGCCAGCCAGCCAGCCAGCCAGCCAGCCAGCCAGCCACCCACCCACCCTCCCAGGTGGTGCCATGTTTCCCCTTCGAAATTCTGGCGCCTCGTCCCCCTTGCGCATGGTGAGCACCGCGCCCTCCAGCGCGTCGCACACCGCGCCGTCTCCGGCGCGGAAGGTGAGGTCCCAGGGCGGCAGCGGAAGCTTCTCCCCGTTGGAGGTGACGGATCGCCTCGAAGCCGAGCGGCAGAGGACCTCCCCAAAGGATTTGGAGCCCCAAAAGCGGTTGGTGTCCTTGCTGCCGTCCCGTTGACATACCAAGCAAAGCGGAGTCAACGGGTACAAAGAAATGATGTGTCCATTGCCATCTCTAGTTTATGGCGTAAGCCTAAGCAATTGCCACTTGCGGTTTGATCATCCTGGTCGCAACCAGCGGCAAAAGGTAGACATATTGTCGACCCGTTTTGGGGTTGACAATCTTTGGGAAACCCACTAAACAAGCGGCTCCACTGCTCGATTCGCGGCTGAACATTACAAGGCAAATTGGGCGGTCCCTGGATGTCCTCAAACCAGCTGTACGTAGGACAGTTGGATCTGTGTGCGTGTGTCTTTTGAGGGTACTCTGGTTGGTTTAACCCTTTTCACTCCTCTAACGCGCCCCTTGATTCCTTCCGGGGGTTGCACAACAGCAAATCGGCCAGTAGGCCCCTCGAAAAGGTCCAATCCGTGGTGTAAAAGAAGAAAAACAACACGTCATAGAATGCTGATGTTCTACTCTTGTGGTTGGGTCGTTTGCTTAAGCACAGAAACTTCCGGCCCATGTTCCTTTTCAGGTCGCACGTTCACCTTGACCTGGCCGGTGTCGTGTAGCTTATCTTCCCCATGGCCCTCCTTCCTTGGTCGCGTGGCACGCCGGTGGCCAAGGCCCCTTGGCCTCATAAAATGTGGTGGGCGAAAGGCCGAAAAGAACACTGGGAGGTCCAACTCAACTTGATATTCAATTGAGTGTAGAGAAGCACATCCAACGCACGAAATGACGCGGAAGCGCAAAACAAGGTCCCCGTGCATGTTCTCCTGCCAGCTACCTATGCCACGCCTTGGTCAACGTTCAGCCCCAAACATAGGAATTGAATCTAGGGCCTAGGGCAAAAACGTAACATGGACCCAAACGTTGACCTCACACACACACACACCTGCCCCCACCAAAACGCTCCATCCCAAATTTTCAGAACTCCCCAAGTGACCTCCACATGGGTTGGATCCGACCAACGCGGTCAAGCCTCACCCGCTTCCGCAGCACCGTTCCATCCAGCTTTCCCAGGCTCACGTCGTGCACTAGGAAGATCTCCTGCGCATCGACGGGATATTGGCGCTCACCTGCCCTCGGCTTGCTTAAAGGATTCTGACTTCACAACCCTCCAAGGGGTTACCCTCACACAGGGTCCTTGAACCCATTTTTCCCTTAATACGGCCCCCCTGGTGGATTTCGTGTTAGTGGACCGGAGGGTATGAAGTGTAAGCTCCGTTTAAAGCCAAACTGATGCTGCCAAGCATAGTTTCAAGCATAACTTGATGGTTACCTAAACGGCACCCTGTGGGCGCAGAACAAGAACGACACCAATACCGCCATCAAGATCATCAACATCATCATGCTCATGAGCATCAACGTCATCGTAATCGACAACAACATCACCAGCAGCTATAGCTCAATACACTTTCAGCCCATTGTAGCCTAGACTTGCTCGATATGAGCGCGCATCTGCAGACAGGAGGGTGGGCAATGCTGTGGGATTCCATGGCGCTGCGGTACAGGTCGTTAAAATAATGAGGAGTTTGGAGAACTCAGCAACTACACATCCCGCTTTTTTTCACGCGTTTTTGGTCGGCTTATATTATCATTGTTTGTTGTTTTGTTCGAATGAAGCATGATTGGCAATTTGCGCCAAGAGTGCAGCGGAATGCTGCGAACCCAGGGCGTGCTTCATTCGGCCAGCTTGAAAAATGTTTCATGTGACCTCCCAAGGCAGGTACACTTTTTCACGACAGGAGAGCCGTGAAAAAGGTGTGTAAGAAGGAATGTTTGCCTGGGTGCCTCAAAATTCCTTGGAGCAAAGAGAAGGGTTGCTGGCTTCATTCCGGCCATAGGCAGTGACAAGGCTTCGCACCCGGATGCATTGCGACGCTGACTTAAAGAGAAGGCAACCTCGGTGGCCTTACGAAAGGCGGTTTTCACCCCAATGCTGGCCCGCAAGGTTCAGCCAAAACACACCCCTTTTCTTAGAAACGGCCGTCTGCCTCCCCAAAATGTGAACACCAAAAAAGTCAATGTTGATTTACAGAAGCTACTTCCAATAATACATATTCCCTTCATAGTTTGAAGATGTCTGAAGGGTAGAGTTTTCAAAACTGAAGAAGAACAGAAAAGCGGAAACAGCGAATGTCTTATTACATGCTATTCAAACAATCAAGGTTTCACAAGCTCATAAAGGGTACCTCCCTTCCAGGCCTCCGTCAGACAGGGAGAGGACCCAAAAGGAGCGGAGAGGAGTGCAGAGGACCGGAGATGACCGGATTCAGGGATCCTCGCTTGAGGGTGGCAGCAGGGGGTGTTTGCTGCGTCCAGCCCATCTATCGGCTAATTGGCAGGGGAAGGAACAGGCCACTGCCCCTTCCAACTGGGTGCCCCGTGCTGCCCTTTTGCATGTGTTTTGTCGGTGAGGGTGTCCCTCTAATATGGATAGCTTCCCCTACAGCAACCCAGTCTTTGCCCAAACAAGCAGCAGCTTCAAGGCGGGGTCCGTATGTCCTCCAGAACCACCGAGATGACCAGCTCCCCAGCTATAGCATCACCCGCCACATAGCCGGGCCGGCAACTGACCTGCGCCTCCTAAGCTCTTCCAGGCACTGCGGGGGGAACCCCCAAACTAAAAAGTTAAAAGGACATGGTTGGATTCTGGCCGCGAGAACCCTGGGATTCAGATACCACCATGAAAGCAATGGTGGCTTTTTCATACCGTGGATGGACAAAATCCGGCACCACTTTGAAGCCATAGGAAACCATTGTTTAGTGGTATTTACAGGGTGCTCATCATGCCAGGGTTTCTTAGGTGGTGCAGGATTTGGTCCATCCACAGCATAACCATTGTTTGCCTAACGATTGTCATCGTCTAAACTTGGACAAGTATTCAAAGCGTGTAATGGAGGTTGAACCCGAGAAAGAACCTTGGAACGCCTTGATTTCATTCGAGTCCCGGAATAGCGACTGCCAGCTAGCGAGCACATGCCATGGGAAGATCTAGGGTTCAACAACTCGCCGCGGACGAGTGCAGATCATTTATGATTCTAAACTAAGACCAGCCGCGGCGATTGCCGACAAGTTATAGCAGTTAGCAAGTAGGCGGCAACTGGGCGGTAAGCGCTCGGCAAGTGCTCGGCAACTAGGTCCACTCGGGCATAGTCATTTCCAACACTTGCGGGGACATATAATCGTTTATTGAACTTGCTATTTTTTATAAGTTATGGTAAGTTGTTTATTAAGTTTTCGCATCTAGATATAAGTCTAGATAGTGGATTTTTAAGTCAAGTTAAGTGTGTGTAACTCTTGATAAGTGTTGCTAACTTTTTGTATCTTTTTCGTGTTTTTTTCAGGTCGGTTTTCGTTGATAGCCACGTATACTGTGCTTTGCATGTCGCAATGTTTTCGTAGCAACCTAATGAGAGTTGTGTGCAAAGTAGGCGCAGCCAGCGTTGGCCTCGGCTGTGATTTTGTGAGCGAATTGTTGAGAGTTTAAGCCATCATGGTGCTATAGCGGGCTTACGTCGTTGTTTGGCGAGAGTGCGAAAAAGCGGCTCAAATGAAAGGATCCTTTGTCTCATCACGCGGGTTTTGCTTGGAGAGTTTTGAGGGTTTGAGAGCTCATGAGAGTTTTCATGGTTTAAGAGTTGATGCATGAGAACCTGGAACGTCTTAAGAGTGGTTTGCAGGCTTGAGAGTTTATGAGAGTTTTCAGGGTTTGAGAGTTTGATAAGAACCTGGAACGTCGTGAGAGCTTACGATCAGAACCTTGAACGCATTGAGAGCTTAAGAATTCAGATGGGTGAGAGTTCATGCGAGAGTTTTCGTGGTCTTGAGAGTTTAAGAGCTTTGAGAGTTCTGAGGGGGTTCGGGTTCTGAGAGTTTTCAAGGTTTGAGAGTTTGTCAGAACCTGGAATGTCTTGAGAGTTGAAAAGTTTTGAGAGTTCTGAGAGAACATTGAAAGACTTGAGAGTTTGTGAAAGTTTTCAGGTTTTGAGAACCGTCATGGTTTTGAGAGCTGAGAGTCTTAGCAATGTGCATGCGGTTCATGTTGTGGTAGCCGAGCAAGCCCAAGAAGAAAGGCCACTGCCAGCATGTCGTGCCTCCGCGAGCTGTGGGCAGAAACTGCCGAGTACTTGCTGCAAGCGCAGCAGGCGCTAGGGCCAGAAGATTTCACAAAGGCCAGGATGCAGCAGTTTCAGCGCGTGTCCTACGCAGTGAAGGCTTCAAATTTGTCTTTGAAAGATGCCACAGAGCTGATGAAGGCTATGAAAGCGACAGCCGTGTTCTCAGAGACAGAGACGCTCTCATTGCTGGAGCAGTGCACGGCAAGCGTGGCGTCAGTCGCAGCTCCCTTGCATAAGCGGCGCGTCTTGCAGGACTACGTGCACTTCCCCATGTACATCCCGGCCGACTTGTGGTCCACGCTTGGAAAAAAGGAAGTTAGTGGCTCGGAGAAGGCGCTCCAGCTTGCAGACTGCTTGGCACGTCTTGGCTTGTGCTCGCCCAGTGAGCCAACCAGCAGATCCTTCACAGCCGTTTGCCTCCTAGCTTCCAAGAAGGAGCCTCTCCTCATGAGTGTCCAGGAAAAATTTGACGCGTTCTTGACGCACAAGGAGATCCTGCGCAGCGTGTGCACGGCAAAGTACTCGGAGACTCGAAATTTCCATCCTTGTTGCCCTCTGATCCTGCCCGCCTTGACCCTGCTCTTTTGGACAGGGCCGGAAGCTCTTCTCGTGTCTTGGAACATGACCAACTGTGGAGCTACGTGCAGATTTCTTCGTTTGCTGCGAGCATTCCTATGAGGACAGCTCTCGAATGCTTCGGGTTGTGATTTGGTTTTACACAAGACGCATTTGCATTTTTTGTTCGCGCGCAGGAACACTAAGAAGGAGATTGCCGTCACCAAGATCAAAGCGGAGCAGAAGACGTCGAACGAGGATCTCTTGCATGCTTTGGTTGCGCACCTACGACCGCAGCCTTTGGAGATCCGCGACAACAAGCTGAGATCGCTGCCGGCGATCATGGATCGCTATCACGAGCACGAGGACGAGCCGGAGCCGAAGAAACTACGCGCAGCGGCGTCCATGCTAAGCCTGACAAGCTCGCGCGAGCAGGAGGACCCTATCTCGGCATCTTCCACATCCCCGAAAACTACCCAGAGCACTGATGAGAAGCTTCTGCCCTTCAATCGGGAGGCCAGCAGCTCGAGCCGCAATGAGACGCCCAACGCTAACCCAATCCTGGCAGCAGCTGCCGCGCTGAAGGAAGAAAAGTCCTCTGCCGCGCCAACGCCCAAGGCGAAGGCAAAGGCAAAGGCACAGCCTGCCCCGAAAGCACAGCCTACCCCGAAAGCAAAGCCTACCCCGAAAGCAAAGAATGCTCCCAAGGCCAAAGCCAAAGCGAAAGCAAAGCAGCTCACCCGCTGCAGGAGAAATGCTCTGCCCCGGGAACTGCAAGCCCGCTACGCAGGTGGATGTGGCAAATGCCGTGGACGGCCGGGGTGTACAGCAAGCTGCTGGAAGACCCGTGGATTTTTGTTGGAGAATTAAATTTCTTACTTTTCCAGACTGTGTTCTATAAACACTTTCTGCAGTGAAGTGCTCAGGGCACTGCTTTGTCGTTCAATTCGTGGAAGCTGTATCTGGGGCGCATGAAACAAGTTGAAAAGAATCGTTTTGAGAGCTTGGCGCGTCTTGCATCATGGTTCGTCTTAATAGAAGCCTTTGCGTGTCATATGGATTCCTTACTGTGTGTCTCAAGAGCCTGCGCTTAGCACTTGGCCTTGCACGACGCACCGGATAGCCTTCCGATGCCAAGAAAGTCGAATAAGCCTTCTCCTTCTCCCAAGGAGGTGAAGTCGCAGCCGAAACCCAAGGCCAAGAAGAAGTCGGCCGCCAAGAGCGTTGCTTCGCCCTTGAGGAAGGCCGGCGAAGACTTGGAGGAGAAGAAAGCTGCTGCACTTGACCTTGAGCCGCCCGCGACGGAGCCGAGCCCAAGCGCCGCAGGAGGCGAGCCCGAGGAGAAGATGCATGCGCCGCTCGCTAAGCGCAGGGCGCGCAACGAGCAGGCCATGGACGCTGCGGTGCTGAAAAAAATTCGAGCAGCTATCCAGTACAGGAAAAGCCAGGGCGACACGGATGTCGCAAAGCTGGACAGCCACTGGAAGAGCGCCAACCCGGACGAGAAGAGGGAGTGCTTGGCGAAGTTCCTGAAGGATCCAAAGCTTCGGTGGAGTGGAGAAGTCACAAAGCAGAGCGTTGTCTCCGAAAAGGAAACTGACCTGAGCACCAAGGAGTGGCTGACTAAGAAGCAGATCGCCAACGAGCAGAGCCTGAGCTTGGAGAAGCCGGAGGAGAAAGAGTTGGTGGACGCCCTGCTGAAGACGCTGGAAGAGCGCGACCACGAGAACTCGGAATGGGCCCGTCGTGGGATAAAGCAGTACAAGTACGTTCGCGGGCGTGAGGACTGTTGAGAGTTTTCTTTTGAGGCAGAGCTTTGATGAATATTTTTGTGTGGGAGAGAGCTTTTGAAGGTTTGAGAGTTTTGTGAGCTGTTCTTGTTGGAGAGGAGGCTTCATAGATTTGAGACGCTGCTTGCAAGTTTTTTTTTGTAGGAGCTGGCCACTGAGCGCAATCACGGTGACCGAGAGGTCCGGCGTTGGAAGCTCTTCGGATCAAGTTGACGTGAGCTGGACCGCTGCTTCTAAAAAGATCGAGAAGGAAGGCGCAAGCCTGGTGAAGCAGATGTCGAAGGCGATGGCTGCAGGCCAGAAGCTCCGGCAGCTCCTGCCGATCCCCGACCGCGCGGAGATTACGGATGCGCTGACGAACGCCCAAGCGGGCTTGCAGAGCCTTGAATGCGCAGTGATCTCAATCCAGCACACGGAAGAGTATGTCGCGACCACCAGCAAGCTGATCCATGAGGGAGAGACATCCCTGCAGGCATTGGACGATGTCTTGGCGAAGGTCAAGGCTGCCCGCGCGCTGAACCAGAAGAAGTCGAAGTCGAAGTCCAGGCCGGCGCCGAAGGATTCCGCCGACGACGTGATTCCGGAGACAGTTCCTGAGGAGCTCAACGATGGTGCCGCTGGCATTGGTGAGAGGGCTGAAGCCTCGATCGGATAGGTAGCTGTTTGTTTCGGCTTGAGGGATTGGGCCTCTTGTTGTCATGCCGTGTTGCAAGTTTTGAGATTTGAGAGTTCACTGTTGACATTGGCCACAGGTCTCTCTGACGCAAAGCCGAGTGATAATTTTATCTTGACCGAAGATTCGAAAACAAACTGCATGGGTATGACGGCTTCCTTGAGAGTTTGCTTGAGAGCTGCAAGGATGTTTGTGGAGAGCTTCCTTGAGAGTTGCAGGGATGTCTGTGCAGAGTTTCCTGGACAGTTGCATGGATGTTTGTGGAGAGTTTCTGACTGGAGAGTTGCATGGATGTTTTTGGAGAGTTTCCTTGAGAGTTGCAGGGATGTTTTTGGATAGTTTCCTTGAGAGTTGCAGGGATGTTTTTGGAGATTTCCCTTGAGAGTTGCAAGGATGTTTTTGGAGAGTTTCCTTGAGAGTTGCATGGATATTGTTGGAGAGTTTCCTTGAGAGTTGCAAGGATGTTTTGAAGATTTCCCTTGAGAGTTGCAAGGATGTTTTTGGAGAGTTTCCTTGAGAGTTGCAGGGATGTTTTTGGAGAGTTTCCTTGAGAGTTGCAGGGATGTTTTTGGAGAGTTTCCTTGAGAGTTGCAGGGATGTTTTTGGAGAGTTTCCTTGAGAGTTGCAGGGATGTTTTTGGAGAGTTTCCTTGAGAGTTGCAGGGATGTTTTTGGAGAGTTTCCTTGAGAGTTGCAGGGATGTTTGTGGAGAGCTTCCTTGAGAGTATTTGCTGAGAGTTTGAGACTTGGGATCTGGCTCAGACAGATGTTGATCGCAGGAGCGCTTGGAGGTCGCGTACGCGAAGATGAGTGCGGCCCGCGCGGCCTTGGACTAGGTGCGCCTGTGTTTTGAAACGCCTTGAGTATTGAGTGTTGTGGAGGCCGGCAAATGTGGTGGATCGGGGCCTTGGAGTAGGTGCGCCTGTGTTTTGAAACGCCTTGAGTATTGATTGTTCTGGAGGCCGGATATGTGGTGGATCGGGGCCTTGGAGTAGGTGCGCCTGTGTTTTGAAACGCCTTGAGTATTGATTGTTCTGGAGGCCGCATATGTGGTGAATTGGAGCCTGGCCGGCTATGTGGTGACGAGGGGCCTTGGAGAAGGTGCACTTTTGTTTTGGAATACTTTGAGCATTGATATTGCTGGAGGCTGGATATATGGTGGTTGAGCGCCTTGGACAAGGCGCATTTTTTTCAGAAACACGTTGGGCATTGATGTTTCTGGAGGCTGGCTATATGGTGATTTGGGGCCTTGGATAAGGTGCACTTTTGCGTTGAAGCCATTTGATTGTTGATGATTCTGCAGGCCAGCTATGTGGTGAATTGGGGCCTAGGAGAAGGTGCATTTTTTGTCATACAACACTTTGAGTGTTGATGAGCTTGGAGGCCAGCTGTGGTGATTTCTGGCCTTGGAGGCGCTTTTTTTTTGTTTTGAAGCACTTTGAGCATTGATGATCCACGAGGCCAGCTCTGTGGCAAGTCCTGGCCTTGGAGAAGGTGCCCTTTGGTTTTGATACACTTTGAGTGTTGATGAGCTTGGAGGCCAGCTGTGTGGTGACTTCTGGCCTTGGAGAAGGCGCTCTTTTGTTTTGAAACCCGTCGAGTGTCGAGTCGATGATTCTGCAGGCCAGCCGGGCGCTCTTGGGTGAAAGCAGCCAGGTGAGCAGCGTGATTTCCGGACGAATTGGAATGTTGAAAGAAGTGGCTTGCCTTCTCATTGAGAATATTGAGAGTTTTTTTTTGAGAGTCGGTTTGAGAGTTTGATTGAGAGTTTGTTTGAGTGAGTCAATGCCACAAAACTTGAGAGGTTCACAAACTCTCTATAAACTCTCAAGTCAGCAACTAAACTCTCAAATCAACAACGAAACTCTCAAGTAAGCAAAGCAATTAAACTCTCAAATCAGCAACGAAACTCTCAAGTAAGCGCATGCAGTATTTTTGGATCGAAGCTGGCTCATACTAGCGCAAGCCTAGCACCTCTCAAACGCCTCTTCTTCTTTTTCAGCTTGTAGACCAACACCTTCACCTTTTTCTCCAACTTCTTGATTTTGCTATCAGCTGTTCGAAGGACATTCTCCATCTCGATGATCTTGATCCATATCAGCCTCTGCCACTGAGGGCTATACCCATCCACCGTCCCATCAGACAACGGAATTGTACGATCCATAGCCTTGCCAGGAAGGGATACCCCAAGAGCGAAATTCAAATCTGAGCCGCGCGCATCGTCGATGAATCTGCAAGTCAATAAGCTGGTCAGTCAAGTTCGTAAACTCTTAAAACTCTCCAAACTCTCAAGAAACATTTGCATGGTGTGTGACTCGAGTTTCAGTGAATCTGCAAGCAAGAAAGTTGTTCAAGATTCAAATTCAGAAACTCTCAAACACACCAAGCTCCAGCAGAAACAGTTGCATGACATCGAGAGTGGTGAGAGCTTGATGTACTAATAAATTCAGAAAATTCTGAATAAATTCAGAAAAATTCTGAATAAATTCAGAAAAATTCTGAATTTGAGGCTTGTCCAGTACTTGTTTCCTTTTACTGAGTTCAGAAAAATTCTGAATAAATTCAGAAAATTCTGAATAAATTCAGAAAAATTCTGAATTTGAGGCTTGTCCAGTACTTGTTTCCTTTTACTGAGTTCAGAAAAATTCTGAATAAATTCAGAAAATTCTGAATAAATTCTGAATTTGAGGCTTGTCCAGTACTTGTTTCCTTTTACTGAGTTCAGAAAAATTCTGAATAAATTCAGAAAATTCTGAATAAATTCAGAAAAATTCTGAATTTGAGGCTTGTCCAGTACTTGTTTCCTTTTACTGAGTTCAGAAAAATTCTGAATAAATTCAGAAAATTCTGAATAAATTCAGAAAAATTCTGAATTTGAGGCTTGCCCAGTACTTGTTTCCTTTTACTGAGTTCAGAAAAATTCTGAATAAATTCAGAAAATTCTGAATAAATTCAGAAAATTCTGAATTTGAGGCTTGCCCAGTACTTGTTTCCTTTTACTGAGTTCAGAAAATTCTGAATAAATTCAGAAAATTCTGAATAAATTCAGAAAAATTCTGAATTTGAGGCTTGCCCAGTACTTGTTTCCTTTTACTGAGTTCAGAAAAATTCTGAATAAATTCAGAAAATTCTGAATATATTCAGAAAATTTGAATACATTCAGAAAAAATTGAACATTGATAAACTCTCGCAATCAACTAAACCAAAACTCTCAAGTGGCTTGTTTCTTGCAAACATTTGGTTGGCCGGAGTATCATGTTTGGAGTCGTTGTTTTATCATATCAGCCGCGCCCGCTTCGTACCAGCCGGGTAGTTCGCAGTGACTAGGGAGCATGCTATGCACTAGCTTCAGCAGAACACGTAGAAGTAGCAGTAGCAGCAGCATGCGGCAGCAGGAGCATGCGGCAGCAGGAGCATGCATTAGCAGCAGCAGCAGCAGTAGCAACAGTAGCAGCAGTAGCAGCAGCACAAGCAGCACAAGCAGGAGCACGCCTTGGCATCGCGTTGCAGCGATGTCGGTGACGCCACACGCTGTGTGGATGGGCAAGCGTGGATCCCCACAAACCTGGCCAGAGGTGGAAGCCTTTGCGGGCGGCTGGCCAGGTTTTGTGGGGATCCATGAGCAGAACTGGGAGGGCGGCGGGTGGGCCAGGGCCTACTTTCGGGCCGCACCAGATGCTGCAGCCTTTCGGGTAGCAGCATGTGGTGCGGGCCTGAATGTGGGTCGCGACAAGCCCCTGGTCCACGCCGCTGCCTCCGAGGGAGACCAGGCCGCCTTGGCCCAGGAGCGTGGTTCGTCAATTGCATAGAAGGGGTTTGCTTTGTATATTGTCAGGAGAGCCTGGTCGTGGAGCTGCAGGCTGCGCTCCAGGAGATGGGGGTTCGTGAGCGAGCGCTTCAGGCCAAGGCCATCCGCGTTGAAATCATATTTTTCGAATTTTGCTTGAACCGCAGGTGGAGCAGCAGTCCTCAGAGCTTCGGGCCGAGGCAAGGTTTTCAGAGTTTTAAGAGTTTTGAGACAGGTGTGAGAGTGCTGAGAGTTTAAAGCAATATTGAAAGGTTTAAGAGTTTTGAGAGTTTCAAGCAATATTGAGAGGTTTGAGAGTTTTGAGAGTTTCAAGCAATATTGAGAGGTTTGAGAGTTTTGAGAGTTTCAAGCAATACGCATCGCTTCTCACAGCGTGTTTCTTTTGTGAGGTGGCAACAGTGGAGCGCCTCCAGCTGGAGGCGAACACGATTTGGTCTCACGGTGCGTGATGTTGGTTTTGTTCACTAGGCGAAGAACATGGCTTGGTTGATGGGCGAGGCAATGGTAGGTAATAGATTGCATTGGCAGCGTTTGCTCGGCAGGCCTCGTCTGAGAAGCGCTTGCAGGAAGAAATGGAGGACTTCCATGCGCAGGCGCTTCTTCTACAATTTACAATGATTAGACTCCAAGTTTGGACAGGCGCAGCTGGAGGAGGTCAAGGCCAGTCAGGATCGCCTGTGTTTCGAGTCCTACAAATGTTTTTTTTCAAGGCCAAGCAGATGGAGCTCTTGGTGTTGGAGGCTGCCCGCTCGGACGAGTCCAAGGCGATTATTGCACACTCACTCTTGTCTGAAGTCTGCTTCTGTTGCAGGAGCTCCAACTGCAAGCCCAGGCGTGGTGCAGAGGACAGTACTTTCCAAGATTGAGAGTTTTTTTCTTCAGAGTTTGGGAGTCCCCGTGTTGCAAGCTTGAGGGATTTTTTTTGATTGAGAGATTGAGAGTTTCCACATCACAAGCTGAGAGTTGTTTGCTTCAGAGTTTGTGAGTTTCCACTTTGCAAACTTGAGAGTTTGTTTGATTGAGAGTTTGGGTGCTTCCAAATTGCAAACTAGGAGCCTCCACCTTGCAGACATGAGAGTTGTTTGCTTCAGAGTTTGGGAGCACATTGCAAATTTGAGATCGTTTTGCTTCACTTTCCACATTGAGAGTTGTTTGCCTCATAGTTTGGGAGTTTC